TTTCCCTTTGTGTTCGTCATTTTGGCTAATTACTGGAAGGTGGTGGTTCCGGCCAAAAGCCCTAGTCCTGCCTTCTGATGTCAGGGAATGGGGTCAATGGTAAAGGAAAAATGAAAGAAAATAATAAAAAAGGACAAATAGAAAATAACAATCTAAAATCATAACAACTCTACCCAGCACCTTTCCTTGAGCTATCCTAGGAGCCTCTTTTAGCAGGAGCATCAGAGTGTACTCAGAAATGTACAAGAAATACAAGATTGAAATGTACAAGATGCTAGCAGAGATATGAAGCTCATATGCTGGGGTTTTAGATGACCACCTTCCATGCTAGTGGAAATAATTATATTGGTCCTGTAGTACTCTGAAATTGAGTTGAGGAGACAGGTATACCAAGCTGTACTCAGAATCCATTCATTTATCTATGTTAGGATACTTTGAATGAGCTTCATGGAGTTGTTTGTTGGACCAATGTCATCTATTATGCAGAAAAAAGTTAACATGACATGCCTGTGGCTGCTACTCTCAAAAATATCTGCCCACAAGGTTGGCCCTTGGGTGGTGTCTGGGAACTCAGATTTGGGGAGGGCTCTGGCCACTCCCAGAACTAATGAAAGTGCCTCACTGTGCCTACATGTACAAACACCATGGCTTATGCCGAACATATGCTTCTCTTCTGGAAGACTGGAAATTTGGTATATGTTTGATGAGCTGAGTCTCTAATGAGCTTTCCTCATACACCACATGAGTGTTGTCACAACTCATTGCTGGAGGAATTAAGTGCACCCTGTGTGACTCCACTGGAAGGGAACCTGGGAAGCTTCCACCTGGCTTCTTCAGGATTTTTTTCCCCCCACACATTTTCCCTTTGCTGATTATGACTACACAGAGAGTCCTGTGAGTCTTCCTAGTGAATCATTGGATCTGGCAGTAGTCTTGGGAACCTGTCACATGTCTTAAAATATAACTTCTCTACAACTTGCCATGGTCCATACCTGTCTTTCCAGGCTACTCCTTAGAATGCAGAGTTTCATAATTGCCTTTTTGAGTTGTTCAATAAGATAACAGCCTGGTCATTTTTTCTGGAGGGTTTTCCAGAACAAAAATGAACAAAGTATTCTTATATCTTAGATCTGCCAACATATCACCCTTCTACCTCAAAGAGCTGCTCTGTGTAAACTGACTATGACAGTCCTAAATCATGTTAAAAATGGCCTTTTAAAAATCAGAAAAGTGAGGACACATTCATTCTACATGTACTTGAGAGAATATATAGAAGCATGGTATAGGAAGAAAGGGGCGATCAACTCTCTGAGGAGGCTCTGAATCAATAGAATGCTAAGATTCTTCTAAAAAAAGAAACACATACACAGACATAGAAGGCAGTGACTCAAATAGTCTAAGGAACATGCTATGTGCTTACGCATCTGTTCTCTGTTTCTTTTCATCTCCTATGGCCAGATTTCTGCAATTCTTGACAAAAATGTAGAGCCCGCCAGTTTTGTAGCAGTAGCTGATATGGAGGAGGATTTCACCACTGACCTTCACGTTGCCATAGTCTCCAGTTTCACTGTAAACACTCATCATACTGTTAAGGCTTGTCTGGAATAAACAAGATGAGAAAAGTTGTCCAGTGTTATTCTAATGATCTCTTCACAGAACCATTTCATTCAATTATAATTCCTGCTCTTTATAATGACTGGGGAAGTCTAGGTTGACTGGTTGAGGGAAGAAAGCAAAAGTCACTTATTTTGCTAGTGCTTGTATAAAATCCCAGCCTGAGAAAGACAATCCAGCTGGCATTATAAGGAAAGCAGAAAAAAAAACAAATAAGGAAGGCAGAGAGACCAGCAGGTAGCATGGTGGTTAAAGTGCTGGACTCCCACATGGCTGACCCATGGTTCAAGTTCCAGACCTGGTAGCTTGCTTTCTCACTATCCCTCTCTCTTTCTCTCTGTCTCACTCTGGTCAAGTTTTAAAAAATAATAATGATGAATAAAATCAAATAAAATAATTCTTAAAAAATTAAGGAGGCAGAAAACTTGCTTAGAGGGTAAGTATTGCTATTTTGGGTAACTGAATACCCTTGATTTATTCACTCCTAATGAATACAGGGTCACTGAGGTATTTTCAATCCCACCTCCCCCACCACCTCCCTATTTCCTTTGGCTCTCTTCTAGGCTCAAATTCAATATAATGCAGGGTCTAGAATACATTTATCAAAACAAAGAATAGTTCATCTCATATTATGTGTTAACAGGTGCCATAAGCTGTCTCAAAACCTTCCAAGGGTACCTTAAAGGGGCTGGGCCCTTAGTTTTCCCCTTCTGATGAGAAAAAAAGAACCCATAAATTCTTCAAATTAGGAATTAGTAAGCACTAAAAGTATCTTTCTAAGCTATTTGGAATGTGAGATCTATTTAAATTTTAATGGCCAAAGTAAAGCTTGAAGCTCCAGAATTTGGTTAGTCCTACCTTACACACATGTGCACACTGTGGTGGGGAGACTATTTGAAGGTATATTCTAGTTCATAGTAAACAAAATGACCTTCAAATAGTAATTAATTTACAATATGACCTATCATCCCCTTCCTCCTGTGATGCTCCCCAAACTGCTGATACAAAGTTGTCTGTGTTATTTTGATGAACCGACTTGGATTCTTCTTCGAATTTATAACTTCCCTTCTTCTCTGGCTTTTTGTTACAGAAATTAGATTCTTAGCTGTAGGAATTAGGGAATAGTTAAGGTGTTGGTAAAATAAGCAATATCAGTCTGAGTCAAGACCATTAGATTAAAAAAAAAGAACTCCCACTGGAAGGAAAAGATAAGGTTAAAACTTGAATGTTAAGATATTAGGCAGAATGGAAATTGCTTGCTGCAAGCACATAGACACTACACTGAATGGTACTAGAGACCTGACAGTTAATCCCTCTTAGAATAGAAATCAATTGTCTAAGGCCCCACGAAGCAAGCAAATACGTAAGAAGGTTATGCCCTTTTGGATTTAAGGAAGTAATAAAAATATTACTTCTCTTTCAATTTACGTGTATTATTTTTTCAGATGGCTATTAAGTAAGGATATAGGTGCTCACTAAGTCACTTAAACCTAACTACTTAAAAAAATGGACTGGTTGGGGCCAGCAGATTGCATAATGGTTATATTACTGGACTCCCAAGTAGTCGACTGCAGTTCGAGTCTCAGACCTGGCAGCTTAAAATTCATGCCAGGCATGTGTGCATGTGTGCCCAAGATCCTGAGAGGAGAATGGAGAAGGGACTAAGGCATGGCCATCCCCCCCCCGGGGGGGTGCTTTCTGTCTCTCTGTTTCTCTCTGTCTCTCTGAGCACACACGCTGTATAGCAAAAATCTCTCTCTAAAAAATGGATTGAAGGAGTAAAGTCTGAGGAAGGACATTAAAGAGAAAAATAGAGATGCAAGCTTCTATGAGACAAAGAAATGGGTTATTGTCTGTTGAGGGATAACCTTATAGTATTGTCAACTGAATCGGTGTGAAATGTACACATGTTGGACTTTTCACTTTGCAAGCTAAGTAACATGATTGATTGTATAAAAGAAACTAAAATAATAATTAAAAAAATGGATTAGTCGAGGGTTACTTTTGGCATAGAAGTGCCATGAAAAAATTACTGAGACACTAGGGCTCAGTGAACTGAGAAAGTTTTGGAGTCTGTGTCCCAGGTGCAATTCTGCTGATCCATTGGACCATGCTTGGAGTATGAAGGGCTTCAAGAATAAGCCTTAACCGCCTAATGTTACACATGAGAAACCTTCAGCTCACAAAAACTTTCAGCAGTGCCAAGACATAAAGCAAGATCTCTCGTTTTCTTTTCTGAGGATCTCTCTGCCATACCTCACTCCTTCTTTACATTACTGACTTATGTCCCCTCTGTCATTATTTTGGACCATATGTCTTTTGACTGGCGTCCAGGTTCTAATGTTTAATGAACTGGACATCTTGGGTTATGATCATTTAATTAATCTTAAAAAAGAACCTCTAGTTAATTGCATGTGAGCCAAAAAAAAGATAAACGCTGGAAGAATTGCCCACCTAGTATTTTCCAAACCATGAAAATTGCGAAATACTATGGGAAAGGAGGAAAAGGAAAGACGGAAAACTTACAGTGTCTGAGTCAGCATCAGGCACATTTAGGTAGGTCCACTTCCTGTCAGAGCCTGCTTGAGAATTCTTTAAGAAAGTCATCCAAAGATCAAAAGAAACAGGGTATTAGAGCAACAGAAATTAGAGAAGTAAAGAAAAAGACAAGTATACAGGTACAAGGACACGGGGACTCCTAAAGCTTTCTTCTTGAGGAAGGCCTTAAACACTGAAGTAAGAAAGGGTTTTGTTATATAGACAGTGCGAAACTCTGAATGGTTTTTAGTAGGAAGAAAAACCTAATTAGGTTTTTTGGAAAATGACTGAGCAGCAGTGTGGACAGTTGGAGGGTTGAAAGAATGGTGTCAGGGAAATTTGTTAGCAGATAATTGAAATAATGTATAGGCTCATACTGTCAGCCTGAATTAGAGAATGAAGAAATTTTAAAACCTGGTGAGGATGGTGGATAAAGAAGGAAGAAATCAGAAACCTTAGAAAAAGTACACACAGGGGGCCAGCAGTTAGCGTAATGGCTATGTCACTGGACTCCCACGTAGTCAACCATGGTTTGAGTCCCAGACCTGGTGGCTTAAACTCACGCCGGGCAACGTGTGCGTGCGTGCCCAAGATCCCGAGAGGAGAATGGAGGAGAAGGGACTGCCGCGTGGCCATCCCCCCTGGGGGGTGATTTCTCACTTTCTGTCTCTATGTCTCTCTCTGTCTGTCTGGCGAGCGCACGCGCCCTGTAGCAAAAACCTCTCCAAAAAGAAGAAGTACACACAGGAGCCAGACAGTGGAGCAGTGTTAATGCCACTGGACTCACATGGGAGAGATTCTAGGTCTGTATCCCAGAACTTTCCTGAATATTCTGGGCACATGAATGACCATGATCTGAGGTTGCCTGAAACTAGGGGGTGGGTAGATTGTGATGTGAAGACCCTGCTGGGGGCACTTGCTCTCTCCCTTTCAAAATGGATAAACTTTTATTCTTTTATTAAAAGGGAAGAAAGAGAAATTCCACACAAAACTAGACTGAAAAATATTCTGTGGGCAAAAGGCAAGCAAAAGCCAATGACTTTTAATTCATCATCACACATTTTGCCAAGAACATTCATATCTCCTTTAGAAATGCACAGAAAATCAACTAGAGGAGCCAGTAGGTGACATGGTGGTTAAGGGAGCTGGATTTCCACATGGCTGATGATAGTTCAAATCCTGGATCCAGTGACTTCAAAATCATACCAGGTATCTGAGCGCATGCCCAGAATCCCAAGAGGAGAATGAAGAAGGGATAGCAGCATGGCCATCTCCCCAGGGGGTGAGTTCTCACTTTTCCTCTCTCTGTCTGTCTCTCGGCTGTCTGGTGAGTGAACATATCTTATGGCAAAAACTTAATAATAATAATAAAAAAAAATAAATGAAAGAAGGAACTTTTTGCTTGACTAGAGAACTGCTTACCGTTGACAAGCCGCTTGCCAGACTGTGGGTGTTTGCTGAAAACCGAGAGGACACTAAGTCATCGATGCTTTCTTCTGTCTCTTCCAAGGAGTCCTAAGAAAGGAAGGGAGACAAAAATCTGCACCAGATTTCAATATTGTAATAAATAACCTTTAGTTTTAACTCTAAGTTTCCTGGCTTGCTCTTGAAAAACTATTATTCCTTTGTTTCTGTCTGTTAGCTCTTTAGTTTTCCTGGAACAGTACTTTCTTCAGGGTTTCTTGAAGAGCTGGTCTGGTGCTGGCAAATTCTTTCAGGT